AATATTTTATTATTTCATTGGCACACTGCAAAAAAATTAAGTTGTAAATAAAACAATTATTTTTTGGAGTATGTTTCAAAAGAATATACTATTTCAGTCTTTCCACTTCAAAGTTTCTCTTTTAATAGAATGTGTTACATGCAATTAATTGTGAAATTTAATAGCAATTTCTGAGAGGAAATTGTTTCGACACCATGCATTTATTTAATCAGTGCATTAAAGTTGTGTGCCCTATAAATGCAGCATTCAGTACACAATCATGACACGACGAACTGTGAATACCTGCTGGGACGATAACTCTCCTCTCATTGGTTGTCATGTTTGGGGGCGGAGCACACTTCTCATCCATGTAGCCAGTGTAGCTCATCTGAGATGCGTCGGTCCCACCCACCATTTTATTGCATTTACCCACACTACAGTCCACCGGGGACTCTCTGCTAGAAAGAAAAAAACAGAGTCAGAACGGCTATTGCTTACTAATGCTTATTTCAGACAGAACAACTCACAAACACAAAATAATGGCAACAAAGGGGTTTTTTCTGCCATACCTGGATCCATTGATGTGGTCATACTCTCGTTTGACATGAACCCGGCCCGGCTGGTTGATCCACTCCTGCTGAGGGGGGATTGGGTTGATCTTGTGAGGCTGACCGTAGTCCTGTGCGCCGGACGCAGTCATGTCTGTCTTGGGTAAGGGAGCAGCAGCAGCGTACGGAGGCTCAAACAGAGACTGGTCTTCACTCACCACTGACAGCGCCTCCTGGAGGAGTGAACGGGCCGAAACTGTATCACTGTTTCTCATTAAAGCACAGAGCCAATGACAAATTACTTTCAGTTCATCATGTGTAGCCAGAATTAAGCAAAACAAATTGTAAATTGTTTCTTGCTGAAGGGCAGAATCACAGATGCTGGGTGCAAATGAAGCAGTGCAATTGATTGCTTACATGCACATAGCCACACTACTGCTACGGATACAGGGAAAATGACTTGAAGTCAACAAGGAATGTAACTTGTTTTTCTTCATTTGACATATTTCCATGTGAAATGGGATATTCAATATTGAAAACAAATGTAGAGAAGGATTTTTCCATTGAATTGCATAGAAAAATGAAGTCAGGTGGTTGAAGGGGAGGAGCTAAAAACAGGGATTTGTGATGTCAGCAGAAAGGAAAGTTGTTTCGGAGGTGGAGCAAGTTATTGTGTTCTGATAAAAGATTATGAATGCACTTTTTCTTGGAATAATGTGCACCAATGAATTAAGCACAGTAAAACCTAAAAAAAAGTGCATTATGAAAGTGAATGGGGTAGTACATTTCAATTTCATGTGGAATTGTATGTACCAGGTGGTATTGACAAAAAAATAAAAAATAAATAATAATAATAATAAAAAAAAAATAATAATAAATAAAAAAAAAATAATCATCTGTCACATGCTTTAGGGATATGACTGTCTGCAACAAAAAAAAAATGTGTAGAAAACTTTTCATTAAGAAATTGCTAGTAAATTTCATAAAATAAATAAATAGCAAATTTCACAATTAAATATGAATAATTGTCAAGATTTTAATAAAAAAAAACTGAAATTTTTTTTTTCTTGTAAAACATACTCCAATAATCATTGCCTTAATTACAACTTTGAAATATATATATATAGTATTTTTTTTTTTATTTTTTTTTTTTTTTACTGTGTACACTGAAAAAAAGAAATTTGTTTTCATTCACAAATCGCTAGTAAATTTCAGAATTACAAAGAAACTGCAAGTACAAATTTGAACGAAATATCAACAGTTTTATTTACAATTTCAAGAAACCATTAAAATGTCATTAACCTTCACTTTGACTATTAAACATTGAGAAGCATTTCAAAACATGATTTTCAATAAGTAAAGCACTTATTTTTTTATTTCATATTCATATTCAATCAGAAAAAAAATAAAAAAATAAAAAAATAAATAAATGTAGAGTAGGACTTGACATTATCCAGTGGAAATTGAAGTCAGGAGATTGAAGGGGGAGGAGTTAAAAAAGAGGGATTTGTGATGTCAGCCGAAAGGAAAGTCGTTTAGAGTTTAGGAGGTAAAGTTATTGTGCCCATTACCAAAGTAAATAGGGTAATTTTGCATTTTATGTTGACTTCAATAGTTGTATTTATTATTGAGAATATAATCATCATCATCATCATCATCATAATAATAATTACAGTTAACTTATAACAACTGTCACAAAAAAAAAAAAATAAATAAGTACAATAAGTACAAGATTTCTTATATAGTATTTTTTTTTTTATTTTTTTTTTTTTTTACTGTGTACACTGAAAAAAAGAAATTTGTTTTCATTCACAAATCGCTAGTAAATTTCAGAATTACAAAGAAACTGCAAGTACAAATTTGAACGAAATATCAACAGTTTTATTTACAATTTCAAGAAACCATTAAAATGTCATTAACCTTCACTTTGACTATTAAACATTGAGAAGCATTTCAAAACATGATTTTCAATAAGTAAAGCACTTATTTTTTTATTTCATATTCATATTCAATCAGAAAAAAAATAAAAAAATAAAAAAATAAATAAATGTAGAGTAGGACTTGACATTATCCAGTGGAAATTGAAGTCAGGAGATTGAAGGGGGAGGAGTTAAAAAAGAGGGATTTGTGATGTCAGCCGAAAGGAAAGTCGTTTAGAGTTTAGGAGGTAAAGTTATTGTCCCCATTACCAAAGTAAATAGGGTAATTTTGCATTTTATGTTGACTTCAACAGTTGTATTTATTATTGAGAATATAATCATCATCATAATAATTACAGTTAACTTATAACAACTGTCACAAAAAAAAATAAATAAATAAGTACAATAAGTACAAGATTTCTTAGTCTTGTTCATGACTCATATGTGAGACAACAGAGGCAGAGAGATCTGTCCAGGGTCACTTCTACATTTGCTCTCATTGCAGGCACTCAGCTGGGGTGATGTAGTTTTATTAAAGAAAACAAACGCGGCAGACAGGCCCCTCCGGAGAGAGCAGCGTCTACACGTGCATGTGATCGTCTCCATTCACATCTCAGTCGAACTTTTCTTTCGCTTTTCTGAAAACTATCATGAAGATTTCCCGCTGTTATTTCAGTTATAAACATCTGTCAAACCCTTAACGTTCACTAAACTTTATACTCAATAAATGCATACAAAAAAAAAAAAGAAGATATACAAACACAAGGCTTTGAAAGATATGAATCGTTGTGGATTTCAAGAGAGCGAGTTTAGGTACTGTTTGATCCCAAAGGAATGATTCCTCCTCGGCATTTTTTTATAGAAACATACTTTTTGTAAAGCATACAGCATCCAAATATCAAATTGAGTGCATTTCACAACTCACACTGCTGTTTTTATAGATTAAAAGTAAATGGCAAAAGGGATCATGGGACACTCTCTTTTTCCCTCTTTGGCTTTTGAACTTTGGTGACAGTCGTCATCAATTTGATCAGCGTCCCGCGGACAGTATCGGGGCGACCCACAGCAGCAGCCTGTGGCATGATAAGTATGGCAGAGTTAAGGAATGCCTTCATGGTGCCAGATAAGGCCAGAGCTGCTATTATGACTGTTACACGTTACTTACACGCAGACATATCAGCCTCCACCATATAATTCATGATTGGCAGTCAGTCGTTCCCAAGATTACAGAGGGTTGTAAAAATAGGAAAATCTAATTCCACACTCACGCTCGTATATACGTACACACAGGCCTGTCAAAAGGCGAAATTCCTTCATCTCTATGAAACAGAGTGCTAAGCGATGGTCAGCGTACAAGTGCAAGCTTCTTGTTACAATGAGGTTAAAATACTCACAAAGGTGCTATTTTCCTTAGGCTATAAATTGGCCGTGTCTGCACGGCTGGCTTAATCCATCCAGAACCACAGGCTGGTTTGGTGTTGTAGATTTATGGTGAGGTACGCAACAGCTGAACATGCTGCATAAATAATACATTATGCTACCGTATGTTTTGATTCTCACCAGGAAAAGTAATTTTGAAAAATGTCATATTAGAATTCTAACAGCCAACCTAATCATCATGGGCCGTCCCGCTGAAGATGCGTCATTCAGTCGGGATGTGCGGACGCCATTAAAAGCACAGTGCTATTTTATACAGAACACATTCCTGTCTTTTGTTTCAGGAGGAAAAGGAAACCTGACAGGAAACCAGACTGTGTGGAACAGGAAATACCCGTGGATTGAAACCCCCTCCTCATTGTGGACTAAAGTGTACAGTTAAGAAATGAATCAAGAGAGCTATACGTGTCAAATTTCAATGGAATGGCACTAAAAATTCCTCTAGATTACATTAATGCTACTGTAGACACAGTACAGTACTAATATTTGATGGCTGTATTTGAAAATGAGTGAGGCTCGCACTTTATATTAGGTTTATTTTATACACTATATTCTTATTAAACTTTAAAGCATGTTAGGGCAAGGTTAGTGTTAGGGTCATACAAAATAATAAACAAACAATAAATATCATATGCGAATCTCTCAAAACAGAAAATTAGCGTTCACAGAACAAGGTTACCAACTAACCCAATCATTTTCTGTCTTTATATATTACTGTATATAAATTGACAAAGTACAGAAATATCTAACATATTTTTACGTGCGTTTTTAATATACAAAAACACACAAACATTATACATATACTGTATATATATATATTACTGTATATAAATTGACAAAGTACAGACAAAATATCTAACATATTTTATGTGTGTGTTTTTATGTGTGTTTTGTATATTAATATAATTAATATACAATTATTAAAATATACAAAACCACACAACCATTATCTTGTATATTATCTTAACTGAGATATGATTTATGGTTTTGATTTAGTAAAAAAATAGGTAACACTTTATTTCGATAGTCCACTTTAGACATTCTATTAACAGTAAGTAACTTTGCAACTACATGTCAACTAGCAGTTAGTAGAGTATTAGTAGACTGTCTGCTTAATATCTTCTAACACTTTCTTTGTCAACTTATTCTACTAACCCTAAACCTACCCTAACAGTCTACTCTGAGAGTTAGTAGACATGTAGTTGCAAATTAATGAGAATTAGTTGACATGTAGTTGACATGTAGTTACAAAGTTACTTATAGTTAATAGAATGTCTAAAGTGGACTATCGAAATAAAGTGTAATCAAAAATTACAGTACAGTAGTTAACTACAAAGAACAATTTAATTATGTGTTGGCATTGTTATACTACTACTACTACTAATAATAATAATACTTATAATAATAATTTGTAACAGTAATAATATATTTATTTATTTATTCATTGTCATTTTTAACAGCCAATCACAACAGTACTGATCATATAATAATAACAAACACTATGTTTTTATTCTTAATGCCATATATTCTACAAAGATTGTACGCTCTTTGAAGGAGTGTTGCTGCATTAAAATCGCCCTTTTTCTGTCCCCAGTCAGTCGAAACAGTCTATTTAACATGATAAAATCTAACACAAGCATGATGTGTACGGCCCCAAACATATACCACACCTAAGACCACTTATATGACCGCAAAAAAGGAGTGTTTGAATCTGCAGCACTCCCCTCCACACAAGAGTCAACAATCAATCAGTGATCGTTACCTTATTTGATGCTCAGAAATAGCTATTTCATTCAAATATTTATAGCTGTTTTTAATCAGAGATTCGATATGCGGATTATTATTATTATTTTTTTTTAAATATATATATAACTATCGAAAATGCACAAAGTAACGGTGTGGACCACACACAAACAATTTATTTTATAATTTGTGTTAACAACCCATGCAAGTGTATTGTACAATAATTATTATTAGTTATCAGAAGAAGGGAACGACTGTGGAGTAATATTTTATTGTGGGTGGGCTCGGCGTTTGAACTATATGAATGGTTGGAAAACCTCGGCACGGTGCCACTCCAATTGCGCAGCCACATCTCCAGCCTAAAGCTTTATGATTTATATAAACCACTGCACTGCATTCACACACGCGCGCCACGGTATGCTGAAAACACAAAGCAGCCTCGTCGAGCACCGGACGTTCGCTATTCTAATCCTAAAAACGAGATTTGTTTTTCTCTTTTTTTTTTTTTTTCTTGGCGAAACATCTTTACTCCATCACAAACAGCGGGTCTAGCCCGTGCGTTTTGACGAGCGTCCGAGTGTGTGTAGAATCCATCTGAACGCTCGTATCCTCCGCTATAGTTTTCAACTTTCAAGAAAGTTTCGACGAAAAGGAAAAGGAAACTTGGAGAGAGAGAGAAGAGGAAAAGCGCTGCTCGGAGCGGCTGAAAAGTCCCAGACAAGGCAGAACTACAGGCGTCTAAGCTCTCAGACTCTGTCCATCTCAGAAAGATCCCTCTCCTCCACTCTTACCTTAATAGTTCCGTCCATTTTGCGCAATTTTCAGTGGAGCCCGACAATATTCCAAACATGACACGCGTCTGAATTAATTCCAGCCCCCGATATGTGGCGGAGAGACAGAGACAGTTTCGCCGGATGGTTTTTTTTCGTCTAAATTTGGGAAGTGAAGTCACTGCGCTTGAGAAGGAAGCCGTGTATGTGTGTGTGTGTGTGTGTGTGTGTGCGCGTGTGTGTGTGTGTATGTGTGTATCACTGGCCCTGCCTTCATTACAGCACCCAAAGCAGGATATTTGTCCCGAGAAGATAAGACACCAAAACAATAGTGTTTCTTTCCTTTGTACATGTTTTTGCCTGGAAATATTTACAGAACGCCTTTCCAGCTCTTTACATTTGTTGCGCTTTTTCCGACATTAAAGTAGCCTACGCGATTTGGTAGAAGCATTGATGCATCGAATGTATGTTAAAACTAATAACAAATCTCAAATAGCCTAACATATTAGATTAAGCTGATAAAAAATATAATAAAAAATGCCAACTACATCTGGTTGACTTTTTACATGAATGCAGGTTTATGCGAGATCGAATAAACATATAAACTATAAAATAGCGTCATAATATTAGGATCGGTGTTCCGCTGTAAAGGAAAGCACGAACTGGATCTACCTATGGTGAAGTGAAGAATGTGACGAGTCTGTCCGAACTTCTTTCGCTGCAAAAACGGGTTTCCATGAATAAAACCGAATCCCGCAGCGCCGAGTCTGTGTGCGCACCTCTGAATGCACATGAACGGCATATCTCCAGCAATAGGCTGAATGGACCATATAGAGAGGCTGATACCTCTTGTGTGCTTGCTGTTCGACATTTCGCAAAATCAGTAGCAAGTGGCTTCACATATTTCATATCTTCATGGGAAATGAGTGGAAGCGTCTCTATTCTAGACTACATTTACTGTACATTAAATATTTAGGCTACTTTCGTCCTGGAAAAGAACTGAAACTCTTAACATTATTTATCACGATAAAAACACGGATTTTTGCAGTGTCAAACACATCTATTTTGCACCAATATTATATGGTAATAATACCATTATATCCTTTTGAGTACCTAGGGGTCAAGGCTTCTCCTGCCTGAGGCCTGCACAGTAATTAACGGAGACACCTTGTTTAACCATTTCGAGTCAGGGCCCCTCTCTCGTGTACAAAACAACACTGGCTTTTCTTTCATTCAAATAAACGGCGTTGGCATATATTAATCAATTTCTGTGTTCTGCATTCTTGGGGAAGGTGGAGGAAGGTGACAAAGCAGAAAGATGGAAATTGGGTTTTGGTTCGAACTAACCATTTACCCACTATTATTTATGGCCGAGTAATACAGATTTGGGGGGGGGGGACATGTGCATGCGAGTTGCAGTGGAAGAGTGGACATCATTTTCACCGAGTGTGGGACTTGTTAGCTGAAACATATGTTTCCCTAGAGGGGACGCTTAGACTCCACCATTCTTTTAATTAAAACACCATTATCTCTGAGCGCATGACGAGACGGAGATCTGGCGGAGAGGGGTCACTAATGACAGTATAATTAAGTTTTATGTTCTCCACTTCGATTATTATAAATGAGACGTCTCTTTGCTTGAGACTAAACTATATATCAGATAAATAGTGAACACAAGCGTTTCATTCAAAATTACGAATTGCATTTGTGGTGGATTAAAGCAAAGCATTGATAGAGTAGATCGGTATGATATTCCTTGTTTGATGACAACACTTTAGACATCATCTGCTTATCTAAACCAAGGCTGTTTTCAGATACAGTGCGTTTTCAACTCTCACTATGTAATGCTAACTTGTCCAGAAAAAAATACGTTTTATTTATGGAGCAAACATCTTTGTGAGGTGCATCATTAAACCTAGAAAAATCAGCCTCTTTTCCCGCGTGTCACTTGCTCAGGTCATTATGAGTCCAGCGGTAACAAACATTTTGGAAGGCCAATAAACAGATGCATGTTGGTTTATGTAGTGAGCCGCAGAACATCTGGCTCGACGCTGGAGCTTGACAGCCAGGCATTTCTCCCAACCACGACCTGTGGGAAGCCAGTGGCCCAACGCTACTGGAAAAACCCTGAAGTGCCGGAGTAAGACTAACCCAGAGTGAGACCAGAGGCTTCCTCAACTTTAAAAGGAAGAAAGAAGGGGGAAAAAACGTGTGGGAACAACATGGTAAATGGACTTTCGACCAGACAATTGCTTAATGGGCTACTAAAGTCTACAAGTTTAGACCTATTTTATATATCTATTATTACCTAGATGTAGACCAATTTTTCTATCTATCTATCTATCTATCTATGGTTTTGCGAAACATATTGGAGCAAGGCTGTCCTGTTTCTCAAGACCGTCACGCGCGAAGAATGATACGAACATCAAAAAATAGAGACTTCAGCACACAACAGCAAACTGTCTGGCCTCCTGCTCCGGGCCATAATTAATTTGAGATTTATTTTTATTGGAAAGCCCCAGTCTCGCCCGGCCTTAACCAAACACAAACCTTAACCCGTGACTTCGCCTGAATGAAGCTGGATATTTCTCTGAAACTGGCCTTTCTTGAGGCGTGCTGAGGTAAATCCCCTTTCCCGCTCAAATTCTGCCCGCCAGCAACAAAACCCAAATATGACCTTTTATCTGCAGCGTGCGAATTAAAGAGGGGGAGGGGCACATACTTGTGGACACATTTCTGGAACATATTTGTCAGATTTGACCAAAACAAAAACTTGGGTTTGGTTGTATTAGAAGAATATGCTCTAATACAGACTCAACCCAAGAGTGTTTAAAAATAAGAATAAGTACAACAATCATAAAATATAATAACAAATATATTCCCAGAGACTTCTATTGCTCCATTTTATTGTTGTTTATACGTGGCCCAACTCCATGCTGCCACGCAGCGCACTATTTATTATTCAGTCTGTGGAGAGAAAGCTGGATTTCAAAAAGAAGGTTTTCCCTCAACATTCCTGCGCTGCTAATGTCTCGAAACAAATCGAGGACTGTTCGTGGGACTGTGAAACGCAGCCCCTCTGTGGAGGAACACAAACTATAGCGTCTGCATGAAAAGCTCCCTTATGCAGGGGGGCAATAAGTCTCCATAACATAACAACTCGGCTCTGGAAAGTATGCTGATTGTAAAGATATAATGAATGACTTTAGCAGGCACAATACTTCATTTTCATGGCTCTGTCTGTGCGCTGGGCACTAAGCCTTTTGATACATTAAAGTTATTGCTGTGGCACTTCGCCATAAATAACCATCCAAATATGCCAATGTACATTTCAGCCTCTAACAGAACGAACAGTGATAATAGCCCACAACATACCTTTCGTAAAGAAGTAGACTATATAAAGTGAGCAATTCAGTAGAAGTGGCACAATCAATGTGGGCTTATACAGTAGACCCAAAACCCATCTGTAGAGATTCCTTAAACAGTTCGAGTTCTATATGGAAACTTCCCTATGCATGGTTGGTCGAACTTAGTTCATGCAAAAACAGATGTCTGCTATTTGCAATGTTTACATTCTTTAAGACCATGTCAAGAGAGAGAGAGAGAGAGAGAGAGAGAAGCACCAAGTCGAATTCAATAATGTGCAATAAGTAACATTTGTGAAGGTCAGAGATGGCCTGTCCCTTCGTTCAATGGCCAGATCAAATTTAAGACTAAGCTAGACAGACAGTGTACACTCTACCAGATGTGTTGTAAACCAATTAAATCATTCGTCAAACTAAATGTCCTTCATACTGAATCATCCATTTTAAGTCAAATATGGCGAGGTGAATCCGGAAAACCGCGTTTTAACAAGCCATTTACATCAGTCATAAATTAAACTGGGAAGAGGAAAAAGGCAATTTAGAATTTCCAGTCTTGTTTCCTCCGACATTACCTGCTCGTAGTGACGATGTTGTCTTACCTTGACGTAAGACGACGTGTCGGGGACGGTCTGAAACATTGTCATTGGACAGAGAGCCCAGAAATGTGTGATGTTCACTTCACGACCCCTTAAAAAAAACACACAAAAAATCCACAGGTCACCTTAGAGGAAGCTGGAGTTTACCCAGTGCAAAACTAACAAATAAATAGGCCTAAGTTAAACGTCTATAATAATAATAATAATAATAATAATAATAATAATAATAGATAAAGAGCTACTTTAACCGAATTGTTTCTTAATTCTGATTTAATTACGGCCGCCGCCCCAAGGCAACTGTCCCAAATTAAGCTCTGGGAATTAGCTTTATTTCAGTTTCCATCTGCTAAATTCCGAACATTTTAAAGAGCAAACGAATTCATCGATTATCTTTTAGCCATCCATTAATTCCCATCGCTCACAAATCAGCACAAAACCATTGTATTTATTTATTTCTCTGAATTACACGCACTCTCCTCCGTGAACATATGTCCTTTCGCAAAGCCAGTTCTTCTCAAAATTGATTTCCGTCTCAGATTCTACGAAATGCATTTATGCCCTACAGTGATATTTTCCTTTAGAAAAAAAAGAGAAGCTCGTTTATCTGCATTCTCTGTGTTTACCTGCGTGCATCAATTGTAAAGCAGCGCAGCAGTTCTTGTGAATAAAATGGGCACGTTGGTTTCCATTTAAACCACATCCAGTAATCTAAACAGAGAGGTCAGATCTGGTTCATGATCTTCATCTTTAGTTTTTGAATGTGTTTATAAGATAAGGCTATATTAGATAAGTCAATTTGTGAAGTATAGGCCCAGCCCCCTACACGTTCAGAGCAGCCACATATTGAAACACTTTTCGTTTTAATAAGTGTAGCTTACAAAGTCTCGGGTGAAAGGGCAATTTGGGGACGGTGTCTTTCGCCTTTCCTTCGGCGTGCAATCACAGAGCAGGCTGGCACTAGCATTATTTAACATTCCACAGCAGTTCAGCAGCACTATGAAAATAACTGATGGCCATATCAAAACACAGCAACATCAGAACTGTATTTCTCGCAAACCGCCCTGATTTGTGCACTTACCACTGACACAGTCTTAAAGTTTATTTATCCTTCTTTAAAGGCCATAGGCTAATCATTAAATAAGGATTTATCAGAACAGAGGAGGGATGACGAGTTGTCTGTTGCATCCTGATGTAGACTAAATAATAAAGAAAACTTTTTAGTTGCAATTTTTTTTTTTTTACCAAAAACCCTTTCTCAAGCAGTTTACTTTCCCGAACAATCACTGTAAAAACATTCATTATTCATGCATCATGTAGCTATAAAATAATCTTTGCTTCAGTCCACTTGTTACACTAATTTATTTCTGATTCAAGTTTTTAGTGTCAATACGACTTTCTTCACCGCTAATTAAATTGAAAGTGATTTAATTTATGTATGTAGGTTGTCACTTTGGTTTCACTTAAAATTGCAATTGAACTTTTCAATTGTGTTGGGTTGTAACTGCATATAACTGATGATAACTTATTTTAAATCAATCTGTGCATAAAGCATCAAGATATATAGTTGCCTACGTGTTTACACACTTCACATTAGTTTGAATAGCGTAACAATAAAGGAAGAACGTCGGACGCATACGGAAGTGCAACACGGTAATAAAGGAAATTAAAGCGCTTTCGTCAGTTGTCTGCCATCGCGATAGGGAATGATATGTTGCCATGTCGATACCTGAACATACTGACCGTGATGAATAAATGAGGAGTCTTATAATTCGCTCGATTTATATTCGCAGCGTCAGACCTCGGGCTCCTGCGGGCGAGAGCTGGGCTCGCCTCATAAACTTTCCCAAATGCATCCAATTTCTAAACGGTAAAAGAGCATAGAATTCCGCATCTGTGGCCAATTAAGTGACTGGAGGCTCAACAGGACTGTTAAGTAACTGCATCGTCTCTCCTCCAAAGAGGACCAAGAGCGTCTAGTGTTTCATTTGAAGCGTCTTACCTAGCGTGTACGTGTTATCCATCAAATAGCGTCTTTCTTGACTGTCAACACATTGGAAACGAGCAACGAAGCGACATACCAAAGTGGACAAACTCAAATCATTCGCCTATTAAAAGTAGTTCCACGTGCATGTGTTTTTATCCCGAAAAAAAAAAACGAAACGATGATTGCAGAGCGGCAAAAACTTTCTGGTCAAACTAAAATCAGAAAGAACACATGCTCAACTTTTGCAGCGCTTAACCTCAAACACAGAATACTCACCTGTCTCGTCTCTGTCACTGGGTATTTTTGAACTCTTTTCCAGTCTTAAATAATTAGTCCCGTCTATGAGAAAGTGATTGTCATGGATAAGTGTGAGTTATGTTGAGGAGGCGTGAGAGGAGGAGAGGATGAATGGGGAACGTGAGACGGGAGAGCAGCGGCTCGCTGGCCAATGAGCCAATGAGGAAGCACGAGCTCCCCCTGAACATCCACTGAACCGGGGGGGGGGGGCGTCAAGAGTACTGGAAAACATCCGAATATATTCTGCAGATATATGTAAACATTCGAAAGACAATTCGAAAGTTTGACCATTTCGTTCATGCATTCACTTGCTTATTTATTTCGTTCATTCGTGCCATTTCGAAACTATGAGCATTTGCAGAGCACATGTGCTTCGTGGTATAGCTATTGCTTGGAAATATGCATTTTATTTTATTTTATTTTAGCGATGCCTGCCAGAATCGTCGTCTTGTGAGGATGAACGCGCCCAGTGGGCTCCTGACACATCCACGCGTCACCCTTGAGCGTCTCTTTCCTGTTAGGTTGACCCTGTTCACTTCACTAACTCCATTTCCTCCAGCCGAGAACTCCTTCAAAGAACCAGCGGCAGGTTTACAGTCGGGAAAGGCGCTGATGCATGGCGTTTGAATATCAGTGAGGAACCAAACACTTGATAAAGACTCTTATTGATCTGAACTGGTTCTCAGATTAGGTCTGAGCGTTTTTTAAACAATTGATTAAAAGGCTTGATGACACTTTACATCGTGTTCATAATTACATTTACACATGTACTGAGTGAAGAACAAACATGCTTAATATAAGTTGCTTGTGATTGCAATTTGATAGCTATTGTAATCTATGTGCCCATGCAATTGTAATCAATTATTACACAATGGAAAATGTGCAACATGCAGGGTGCAGCAATAAAAAAGTGTTACAATATCTAGATTTATATGCCTTTGCTAATGGATTTTTGTCAAACAATTTAGTTTGAGCTCATAGTCCCTAAACATTGATAAATGTGAACAAAAAAAAAGAATAAAACAAAGTAGTAAAAATATTTTTCCCAGTAAACTCTGACATAAACAGTATTCGGAATAGCACGCCACGTTCCCGTAAGATCACATACATAAATTCTTTAGAACAATAGCAGGAAATTGCCACCTTACCCAGACGAGAAACATATCTAAAGGTAACCGTCACTACTTTCAGTGGCTGAATGTCATTTACAACATGTAAAAAGCTAAATTCTTACATTCTTTAACCAACATACAACAGTTTTGTTCTCTACACCCTTATATGTTATTATTATTTCTTTTATTTCTCAGTGTATCCTGCCTGAGGAGCTCCTGGAATTTTTACAGAGTCCGAGACTAAGAAACACATCATTGGCTGGATGACGCACTTCCATCCAAATACCTTTAGACAGGAGTGAGAAACAATAAACAGTGCTAGTGTTAGTTCTCAGCAACTGGTTGTTGTTGTTTTTTCTCTCCATTGTCTTGTTGCTTTAAAGTTGTTACTGTAATCAAGTTTAGTAATGAGTGAACTAAGAGATCTAGACAGACAAGTGTAAAAGGAATGAAAAAACAAAACAAAAACAAAGATATTCAAGCATGATAAAAACTGTTCCCAACTGCAGTGGTCTACACTCTTGAAAATAAAAGTTCATTTGTGGTTCCATGAAGAACCTTTAACATCCATGGGACCTTTCCATTAGACAAAAGCTTCTTTATATTAAGAAAACGTTTCTTGAGATAAGAGAAAGGAAAAATTGAAATTGCATCATATGACCCCTTTAAAATGTCCTTCACACTAAGAAAAAAATTGTTATTTTAAGAACTTTTCACTGAAAGGTTCTATGAGGAAACCCAAATGACTCTTCTATGGCATCATTGCGAAAACCCCCTTTGAAACACTTATTTTTACAAGTGTATGTCCAGTCTTGAAAAACTCAAGCTGACTAACAAGAGTGAAACTAGACTCAAAACTCTTGTGTTACATTTTAATGAGTTCACATGAGTTCATATTATATGCATCACTTGGTTTCACTATAGTGTTTTTAGAATTTTTCAGGACTGAATGATGTTTTAGTAATCAAAGGTTAGAGGGATCAGAACTGCACTCAAGGATTTGAACCATATCAGTCTCCATAAAACAGTTAAAACTGTAACTGTCTCTCATGGGATCTGGCATCTCACGAGCCGAATTCCTGCGTCCCATCTAGGATCAGCCCCCGTGGCTGGTGTTAGCGTTAGAGACTTATCTCAAAGGTCCAGCTCCACCTCCTGGGACCTCTCTAATATCTGGCTATTTAGGAATATGCAGAAACATACAGACGTGTCTGATTACATCGAGTATAAGGCCTGGGTCCTCCAGCGTAATGTCTTATTTATTTAACTGGAAGAGCAAGAGAGCAGCAGAGATGAAGATAGCTCATTTTCCACATCTCTCCATGTTCTCAAGGGGGACGCGTAAATGAGATGCCGGCACCAGTGAAGGCAGGGCAACTCTTTTCACGCTAACCCCGTCAAGGCCCACATGCAACAGGATAGACCCAAGGGCTTTACTTAACTGAAGCACAATCAGGCTCATTCATACTTAAATGCCAGTAATGTCAGCACAGGAGAATGGAAGATGCCCTGCAAAATCGTGTGGCTCATAATCTCATATATATCTACTCCCTTAGCCCTCATAAAACTACATAGAGGATAGTTATGAACACCTGGAGAAGGCTGTCCGTTTTTTCCCGTCCTCATTCACGAAGCCTTGCATGGATTTGCTGAGTGTGAACTCTTTAGATTCATGGTTTGTAACATGAATTTCACAGACAGGTGAAACCGGATCTGGAAATGTATCTTTATGCAAACAGCAGACCACTCAGGCATGCCATTAGAATTTGCAAAGGGGAAATTAAACCGCTGTGGTTGGTTTATAAGAGAGCATTTATAAAGGTAAAGCTTTGCCAGTGAAAGTGCTGAACTTCTAATAAGACACCAATCATCACGGCTGTTAGCTCCATCCAAACGAAGCAATAGATGACCTCTCAGTAATGACATACATCTGGTTTAATCAGAAGTTAGACTTACAGATTGCGAAGAAATGATTGCCAACTATGAAGTGAGACAACTAAATTGCATAGTAGATCACATCCTTACATGCCATCTACAGACTTTAGGGATTTTAGTTACTGAATAATGTCCATTATGCTCAGAAGAAATTCTCTCTTTAAGGCTGTGAATTATACAGTATAGCTTTTTCAGACGAAATTCAAACTGGTAATGCACATTTTTGGACTACTCATTCAAAGAACCAGCTCATAAATAGGACTCGTTCTTTTTGGAAATCTGCCTCTACTGGTCGCGCAAATTCACTGATAAGAATGGGCTCTTAAGAGCCGTTTGGCCCCTGGTTGCCCTAATTTACATCATTTAATTTTTGATCGTTTTATTGCATCGTATCCAATGCAGACTGAAAACTAGTGAGAGATGCTTTCGAAACCCTGCTTCGTGAAGCTTCAAAACCTTTTACGAATCATTTGTTTCCAATCAGTGCCACGGAGCATGTGTCAAACTGCCAAAGTTGCACGATTTCAGTAAACTAGTTTTGAAATTTCAGTGGTTCACCACAAGGGACAGTCTCTGTGAACCAGTGTCTATATGGTTTTTACCTGAGTTTGGTTTGATTTGCTAAGTAAGTTAGATATTTTAATGACTTATTTGTATAATATAAGAGCAAGAGTTGTAGTTATTGGTCTCATATTGCCTGATTAACCAAGCTATACAAATAAGCTCTACAATTTAATAAACTAGCATATATTAAGCATGCACTTTATATTTAATGGTATTGAATGATTTGTTAATTGCATTTAATAGATTACACTTTCAGTAAACATTTGCAGTTGGTTTGTAAAAGATGCTTTTACGCATGTTTGAGCTGAGTTGTCATTGCATTTACACCATTCAGACCAGTAGGTGTCACCAGCGGGCGGCATTTCAAGAACTTCGAAAAAGTGAACCATTTTGCGAACTATGCAACTGGGTGAGAAGCCCAACATGTACTGCTGTTTTGACACGAATGCTAGCGTCTGCATACAGCTGAATGCACAGCCTTTCAGAGTATACTCCATTTGATAGCATGCATCATGAACACGCGCTCGACACATGCGCACTAAAAATGTCATCCTTGTTCAGCGTCTGCATTATTTCTCTCCAGAAGTTATCAACGATAAAACTGTCTTTTGTACTTTTCACAGATTTGCATATCATTCATTTTTCAGGGGCTATATATACTTCTTTTGTCCGCTGAAGTCAGTGCACACATGCACGAGTGATTTGAGCGGAAGTTACGTCACATGCACTTACAACACTTAGTGTTTGCATAAAAACCAAAGTATACTTTGTGTAGGGATCATTTAAATAAAGATTGCATTAATCTAAAATCAACATTTTAACCCAGACCTAGTACCAAGTCTCAATTATTATTAATCTGTTCTCATTTAATTCACCAACCCTCAGTGAAACTCTAGGGTATTAATCTTAACATTTAAGACTAGCCAGGCGAAATAAAACCATGTGGATGAAAAAAATAAAAATAATAATAAAATCCTTGGTGGAAAACAGCAAGTCAAGGCACATGACTGCACACCTCATCTAAGAAAATTTAAAATCATCTCCCCTCAATAAATCCTCTGACCACTCATCATTCAACAGGCTTTTAGCAATATATATATATGTGTGTGTGTGTGTGTGTGTGTGTGTGTGTGATGCATATATAAGGACTTGTTCTCTCTCTAAATATGATTATTATTAGTTATATAAATAATTTACTAATTTACTAAATTAGGAATTCTGTCCCCACTGCCTCTCAGAAAATGCTTTTATCAACAATGTCAGGAAATGGCACATCCGGATACTGCAACTGCTGACAGTTGTCCATAATTTAGTAGTTGCAAGACTTTCAGATTTTTTTGCAAGGCGCATTGTAAGTCTAATGTGTTTGTGTGTACCGTTAGGCCTTCCTGGGAGGCACAAAGTAAACCCCTCCCTCTCTCCTGCTCCCTGGGGCAACAAACAAACGTATGAAACGGGAAACAGACCTAGCCACA